TGTCTATAGTTGTGTAGTGCATACGGTTTGCTGTTGAGTGGGAAATTGCGCATTACTACTACTACTACTACTACTACTACTACTACTACTACTACTACTACTACTACTACTACTACTACTACTACTACTTAACTACTACTGGTACTATTATATATCAGTTTCTTACCGTCTAAAGTAAGGCTACTGTCAGAATAAATGTAAATGTGTATTGCATTTTCGAGTAGGCCTATGTACCTACATAATATATACTGAACGCCATTAAAAATGCAACACTTCTTTTGCAGTCTTTTTTTTTTATATAGTAGAGGGTTTTACGGCGCTCGCAACTGCATAAGGTCATATGAGCGCACGGGACACACCTAATACTTTTTAGTTGGTAGGAAATTTTGAATTTTGCCCGGGTTGCGCCCGAAGCCTACTTTTAATGATTTTAGACCACCAGGGGATCTTTAACGTGCGCAACTTGCACACGGGCCCTGTGAGATGTTTCGCCCTTGTTCGAGAAGGCTAAGTGTAGATCTTTCCTACCAGAAGATCAGGGGTGTGGTAAAAAGATAGCTGTAAGATGGAGTCAAGGAGTAGCAGTAGAAAGGCTGCAGAAAGAGTCAGGAGCCTATAGGAGGGGCAAAGGAGGTGAGGGGGTGGGGGCAGAAAAAGGAGACGAAAGCAGACGACAGAATATTGCTGGAGAGCTGGAAAGGAGGTGAAAGGAGACATTTTTAGCGAAGACAATTTTTAGGATTCGAACCCGGGACCTTTGAATGAGAGGCCAACACCTTAACCTCTTGGCCACGAAAGCCCCCGTTTGCAATCTGAACACGTGTATATCAAATGAAAATAAATTAAAAGAAGTGGTTTTTGGAGTTTTATTCCTTTTCCAACAAATGTGGACCATTTTGATCACACACTTCAACCTATTTCGACACATTGCCCTCCTTCTTACGGAGTACCCTTTAGACAAATTCGCAGATAAACACAAATCGAAACTCAACAAAGATCTCGCACTCTCAGTAAATTGTATGGTCATCATTAACGTGTATACACGCCTAAACACCTCTTCACATGTATTTTATGACATTTTCAATGATTTGTTGAGAAATGCTGTCCCACTTTCGCAGCAGCGCGATCTCCCAATAGCTACAGATTCGCAAAACCGCGCATACTTTGTGATTCAGTTAATCCCGTATGAGCGCTGTTTTAGACATGTCTGGTACGTACACTGGCCAGTCCATGACGTTCATGTTGTGATCTTCCACATACTGTGCTGTTTGTTACATAGGCAGTGTAAGGGCAGGAGTGTGGTGTTAGATGATTAAGAGATTTTGATTTTTTTTTCTTTTTGCTGTTTCGCACAGTGAAGACGGTGCTGTCGAGGCGGCTTCGTTAATCTTACTTTTACTTTTTCTTCCGCTTGTACCGGGGGGTGTCACGGGGAGACACAGGCGTCTGTCTGCAGCAAGGCGAGTGGCCTGTAGGAGGGACATCCCGTGAGCTCTGAGGGTGTCTGCCACAGATTCACTCCATCGTCGCTTGATCAGTCTGTTTGTGTCTCCTTATGTTTTCTTGAGCAATATTAATTAATATCCACTGCCTGCCTGCTAAGCCAGTCGCTGTTTCACCAGAGCCCCGTTGGCCAGCAACGTTTCGGGATGACCCGGGTCGGCCTTCACGGCTAGCGTAACGCCTCAGTGACATAAAGTCACACAGTACTTCCCCAGACCCAGCTATCCCCTACTTTGTCCTGCTGCATTAATTGCAGTCCTAAATAAGGAGTTGTTGATCTAATACGGGGTGCCCACTACGGACGGGATCGGCCGATCGAGCCGATCGCCCGACTCGATCGCCTCAAAAACAAACGTGTTTGTTTTCAGTTTCAGGCGATCGAGTCGGGCGATTGGCCCGATCCAGCCGTAGTGGGCACCCCGTATAAGCCCTCAACTTACTACCCCGCGCCTCAAACTGATAAAAGAATTAATATTTTCTCGCACTCCTTGCATGACTTGGGCTGTTTGCTGTAGAGGAACGAAACGATTTCGCAGAAGCGACAGCAAAATCTGCCTCTCTTGAACAGGGCTGGTCAATCGAGGCTGCCCTATTTCATGTCCATCCGGGACATGTCAAGTGTGCCATAACCTTTGTATAAGTCGAGAACAATACAAACACTGCATGGGTGTTCTGCCCTGGTCATGCCGGGGTGCACGGAAATGAACGTGCTGATGAACTTGTCGGCAAAGCAGCACCCAATGGCCGAATCATGCTCGACCCACCAATGGTGATCGCCAGATGCAAGGAGAGCCTTCACAACCAAGAGGAGACAGACTCCCACACACTCAGCACAATA